ATTTTTTTGTTCAATAATAAATGTGAATTCTTCTTCCTGGAAAAAATAAGACATTCCCTGAAAATAAGACCTAGCGCATTTTTCAGAGCAAAAATTAATATAAGACACTGTCTTATTTTCGGGGAAACACGGTATCTAATTATTTTTAAAATGTTCAAATTTTTCTAATTAATAACTTTCATTTTATAACAATATGCATTACTAGATTTAAGGATTAACAAATTTGTATATATATATATATATATATAAAATCATATTCACTATATGATTGTCGTAATAATTATTATTGTTATTACGACAATCCGGAATTTGTACCATATCAGTTGAGTTGTGTGTGTGAGGTCCGAGCGATACTGGAGAACACGTGTTAAAAACATCATAAAAGTGTCAATCAAGGGATTTGTCAATTGGGCTTTGATTCTAACGCTCGTAAAAATTGGAAACATCTAAATAAAATCGTAAAATAATAAAATTATTAATCGAGAGAAAAAAATAAGCTTTTAAATAATCTTAAAATGAGATGCAGAGCTGAGATTATGTGTCAGACTTATAAGAATTCGAAACAATTAAATACGAGCAGGAGTTTCAAGGTGCGATTAATTTCACTTGATCGGATTATTAAAATACAGTGTCGAATTAAACCTTTCGTAACACGAAATGGTCTGTCATCTGTCTAGATACAGGAAACCAACCAATCAAAAAGCTAGAGATCCGGGAAAGAGAATCTTTTAAAAACCTGGATCTCGAGGACAAAGGCAGACTTTTCCCTGCCTCCTCTTGTGAAGTTAACTGTACAGACTTCTTCCAGACTTCGCCCAGCCTCTGATAGTGACAACCACTGTCCAGACTTTCCGCAGCTTCCAACTGTATTCAATTATCCAGACTTTTCCCTGCCTCCCCCATGTGGACACCATCCTGTCTGAGCTTCGGGCTATCACCCTTCATCACTGGACCTCCCACACTATCGAAACATCGACTGACTGCCCCGGAGCCAATGACTCAACTGTCCATCGCCTCCAGAAGACAAAACACGCTAGATTGTAAGCCTTAGTATAAATAAACGGATTTGTTTGTCACTGCAGCTATTTGCCTCACTTTCCTTCACCCCACATACGAAAATCCTGACATTTGGTAATCCCCAATTCGGCAACTTCGCAGTTGTATTCTTGAATAAATGTTTGAAAGATTACAGACTTCAATGTTGAACTCAATAGCGTAAAATAATATTGAATTCAACATTAATTTCACATTCAAAAACTGGAGTCTTTCACGAATATTATCTGGCAAATGGATTCGTTTTAAAATATAACTGCAATTCATCATTTACGTCTCAGCATTCGAGAAATGATCTACTGAGAGAAAATTATAGTCCGAATGATTATAGAGAAAATAAAAAATGCTATAATACTTATATTACGGTACATGTGATTATCACTATATTACACTTAATACATTTTTAATGGTAATTTTGGAAACAATGACTATTATCTTCTAGTTATTTTATATAAAAAAATTTAATAAAACATGTTGTTTTGTAATATAGAGCCTGTCTGCAAAGTAAAGCCAAAACTTTGAGCTATTAATTGTTGAAAACAAAACTTTATGAAAACAAGAAAATTTGCAAATTCTTACATGAAAAATAATAGTAATTCAAACACAAATTATTATTGTATTTACTTTCAGGCACTTGGCAATTTTTATCATCAAATTTTATTTAGTTGAATAACTAAATAAAATTTGATCATAAAATAAAATTTACATCAACTAAATAAAATTTGATGATAAAAATTGCCAAGTGCCTGAAAGTAAATACAATAATAATTTGTGTTTGAATTACTACTAATAACTACTAGCACGGTTTCAAAATACCAAAACAAATGAAAAATAATGTTTATTTTGCATTCATCCTTTCTTTTGTACAGTTTTGCGTAATTTATAAGTACAGGTAAAATGTTTTGATTTACATAAAAGTAGCATTTACAAATAGCAAAACAGTGACGGTCCGAGTGACTAGGGTGGCATCCTACCGTTTTGGAGGATCCAGGATCGAATTCGGTCGAAAAACAGTGGTTCGTCCGAATATTTCGGTTCACATTTCCCACCATCCGGCCGCCCCACTGTGGAAATGACCCAATCCACGATGGACTTGATAAAAAGGCCCCCTTAGTACTCACAATTATCGAGGTGAACCGATAATTGTATTTCAACCGTTCGGTTCTAGTTCGTAGGACAGTGATTCTCGACCGCTGTGCCGCGAGATATTTCAAATGTGCCACCACTGCGAATATGCATACATAAGCGTGGTCAGACAAGTAGATCAATCGGTTCTGCTTTCCTATGGCATATTTGAAAATTGTAACCGGTGTTACCGGTAAATGCGAAGGCGGTTAAAAAATGTGACCTAAGTAGCCAACCGTGTTTAAAAATCATTGTTATGACGTCACCGGTTGTCCTGCGGTACTTACCGAAGTAACTGTGTATGCCGCCAAATTTTTAAATTATCAAGTGTACCGTTACGAAAAAAAGGTTGAGAATCACTGTCGTAGGATATGGCCTATATTTCGTCAATTGCAACTATCAGAAGAACGATGGATTCTCCTTCAGGCCTTTTTTTTATTAACTCCTTCCGCCCTGTGGGCATTAAGAGGGCCTCTTTTTGCAAGCCCATTATGGGTTCGGCCAGGCCCACAATGGGAACTGCCGAGTGGTGAGGGACGGGGCCCGACATATCCGGACGGACCAACCACCGAAAAATTTCTGGGGATATTTCGACCCGTTCGGATTCGAGCCCAGGTCCCCCAGAGCGGTAGGCTGCCACCTTGACCGCTTGGCCATCCGGCCTTCTCCTTCAGGCCTGTAACGCTTTAGTCATATTCGAGCAATTTCCATTCGTTGCCCTTTCTGCATCGTTCAGAGCTTGAGGCACTTGCAGCAATTTTGCGCATTTCCAGCGTCTTCGTCAAGATATGGTAAACACTGAGTTGCAATGCCTATTTCGGCACTCATTTCATGGCGTGTCCAACGACTATCATTCTCTAGTAACCTTAAAACGGCTTCTGCACGTTGTTTGTCTATTGCAATGATTGAATGGCCGCCACCATGCATAATCTCGGTATTCTTTCTTCCGTGGTTAAAGCCGAAAGCCTTCGACTAATCGGGTAACAGTACGAAATGGCAATGCAACATTACCACATGCCTCACGCAAATCTTCTTCATCATCTGAGACAAATCAACATGTCACACTCTCTGGGGAAGCTAGGATCGAATCTGGACAGGAAATCCCAGGAATTTTTCACAAGAGCTCCGTCTCTCACCACCCAGCTTCGTTTTGGGCTTGGCAAAACCCACGATCAACTTGCTAAAAAGTCTCTCTCAGTGTCCAAATGGCGGAAAAAGTTTTAAAAAACCTCATGAGACAAAAATAATTAAAAACGAAAAATAAACTATTTTAATTAAAAATTAACATTTAATTTACTTTTATTTTACATTTATTTATAATTTTTTAATTTTTCATATTTGTTATGATGTATATTACGGTGACGTCATATAGCTGGCGGTAGTGAGCTCACTGGTTGGCGGGAATTCTACGAATGGTGTGGGTTTGTTTATCAAAGAGTTAAAATGGAAGAAAATTTAATGGAAGTAGATGAGAAGATTACAAAACAAGATCCGAATATTTCAAGCGAAATAAAGAAAAAAGAAAACATTCCATGGTAATTGATGAATAATAATTTTAAACTTTCCAACATAACTGTGCACTTTAAATTCAATATTTATAATAAAACTTAGACTTTTAAATACAGTCTAAAGTTTAACGTGTTGATTTTTCTCTAGTTAAATTAATCTCTTCTGATTTGTTTACATCAGTTATAGCAAATTTAATGCAATTATAAATTAATATAGTTAATCTCAATTTTTTCTCAGTGATTACCAATAACAGTTTTAAAAATATAGCATTAAAATTCTTATACTTTGCCTATACAGTGGAAACTTGATTATCCAAATCAGGGATATTTCGAATAATCCGGAAACTCCTTTGTTTTTACGTTTTAGTTACATCAAACACTGCATTTAAAAGTTTTGCGAACAATAAATAGTTTTTTTAACTCTTTCTGCCCCATGGGCACTAAAAGGACCTCTTAGCAAGCCCATTATGGGCTTGGCCAGGTTCACAATGGGGTGGCTGGGTAGTGGGGGATGGGGCCCGACCTATCTGGATGGACCATCTTCCAAAAAATTCCTGGGGATTTTTTGACTTGTCTGGATTTGATCCCAGATTCCCCAGAGTGGTAAGCTGCCACCTTGACTGCTTGCCCATCCAGCTTCAAACATTAAATAGTGTAATGCAATTATTGTATTTGAAGATAAATTAATCCACTCAAAATCTAAAGTAATGTAAATGTCCTAGTTTTGTGGTGCTACAGTTGAAAGATGATGTAGTGATTTCCAGTTACATAGAGTGTTTGGTGTATTATATACTCTGTGGCAGCGGTCTGCAACCTTTCTGACCTCACAGACCACTAAACCCACAATTTCAAATTCTGTAGACCACTATCATGAATTTTTTAAATGATACAAAATCTCTAGAATAATGATCATAAAAGTTCAATTTTACTATATTAATATGAAACTCGCTTGTTTAATTATAACAAATTAATGCAAGCCTAAAGTTTGTTACTGCTTGTTTGAAATAAGTTTATGGATTCTTAGTGCTTTTCCATGAAGGACAACAATCGCACTCACAATATTGTTTATTGTTCATTATTTATTGATAACAGTCACTTCGTACTTGATTTTAGATTAAATAAAAAACTCCCAATGAGTGAAAAAAGGTAACTAAGCATTTTGCATTTCTTTCATAATATTTCACATAACATTAAGTTGATGAATGTCCAAATTTCTCCATAGAACACCCAAATTTTCTCGTGGACTATCAGTTGCCAACTGCTGCTCTGTGTTATGTACAGCACTACATTTTCTACTTTTTTTAGTTTTGAAAACTCAGACAGCCAGGCATTTCAGGTAACTGAGTTTCCACTATATTTGTCAAAGATCAATAATGTCCATTAAAAATTTTGTAAATAAAATAACATACGAAAGCATCTAATTAAAATATATGGCAACTTTATGTATAACAATTACATAATGATTTTTAAGAAATAATTGAATTTTTAATAAACCTTACAAAATTTTCTGTTTTACACTTCATTTGCATTTTTCTAAAATAATAAAATCTGGAAAAATAAGTTTACTCCTTACTTATCTGTTATAGTTATTATATTTTACAGTGTATAAGACACTTGCATTTCAGCCTAGAGTATTTAGGGGGGAAGTATTTATTGTATTTAAGTCATCCCATGTCTAGTTAAAAAAGTAAAACTAAAATGTGCACTTCTATTTATCAGAAAAAAAGAGGAATTTATAAGAAGTCATGTACAATTAAATTTTATCATTAAAATATTCAACATGAATACATGCAATTGTTATAGCAAAAAATAATATGTTATTGTTTAATTAATATGATTCAAGAGTTAGGCTAGATAGAGGTTACCTGTAGCCTACTGAAACTTTAGGGTATTCATTAGATTATGGGAGATTGGAACTTCACAAATAAGACATTTTAAAAATATATTTTTGGACAAATGTCCATCTTAAATACCAAAAAATTCATTGTTTAGTATTTCAACATTTTATACTTATGAATTTGTTACTTATGAAATTGAAATAAGTGATAATTGTATTTCAACTAATTAATTAATTTTAGAATTTAATAATAATAATTACCTTTTAAATTGATAGTTATGAATAAAAAAAAATTTTTATAGGGTTGAAAAATATCGACCTGTCCGATTTATTGATGTTGTTGGAAATGAAGAAATGATATCTCGTTTTGAGGTAATGAAATTCCTTTTTGTTTTAATACATACACTTATTGCAATATTCATAATTTTGTTGTTGAAAACATATGTTGTTTTATGATTAGATTATTGACCATTCAAGTGTTAAATATTTTTTGTATTACTAATTACAAATTTAAAAATTTTAAGATTAACTTTTCATTGTTTGTGTGACATTTAAGATATACAGTAAGACCCTAATTAATGCGGGGGATGCGTTCCTAGACAACAAAGCACTAAGTGAAACAGCATTAAACGAGACCATTTTAACATGGAGTAAAGAGGGATAGGGGAACATGCAACCAAAAATTTTTAAAAATTTACTTTAATTTTAAGTTATTTTTATATTAATTTGTACAATAATATATGTTAAATAACACATAAACATATGCACACAGAAATGTATAATAGTATATTAATTAGTTCATTTTTTGTGATGAAGATACTGACTTTTCTGAAAATCTTGGTTTTTTGCAATAAAGCTGTGAAGTTTCATTTGTTGCTTTTTTTCTCTCATTAAGCAAATGTTGGTAGCAGAAGATTGCATCCAAAATGCCTCGTTTTGCTTTTGCACTCCTTTCAAAATCTAGATCATATGCTACAATTTGATCAACGATTTCAGTTATTGTTACCAAACTTTTATTAAGGAAATCTGTAGCAAGTTCTTTGGGTTCTTCATTTTCAGAATTTCTATTTTCAAGTTCTACATGAATTCCTTGTTCTGCCAGTTCTTGAAGTCATTATTGGTAAGGCTTTTACCAGAAACCTGCAGTAACTCCCCAATATCCTGCTTGTCTACATTACATCTCCTGTATCAATTAAGTTGACAATTTGGTCAATATAACGATACAGTGATAGGCTCTTCTCGTTGAGAATTCTTGGATACCTTCAGCCATAACTTCTTCCATACTCCATTCATGCATTTATCAGTTAATTCTTGCCAAGCCAAGTCGCTTTTCCTATGGCATCCATGATGTTATACTTTTTTTCCAAAATTGCACAAAACAAACATAGATTTAAGCAAAGTACAGTGCTATGACGAATTGCAACCTTTTGCTGATTGGTTCGTGTTTGGAAAAAATCATATTATATATGAATCGATGAAATATTGCGTTAATTTGAATCAACGTATATTTTGAGCATTTTTTTTTAGGCATCAAGCAGACCGCATTATATTGAATCAGCATTAACCTGTCCTACATTGTTCCTGAAAATATTCGTGTTGACCTCATTGACTTGCATGGGAGATCCCGAATATTTTCGTGTTTACATCGAAATGTTTTTGATATTAGATGTCGCTATGCATCACAATTTTTATATTAAATATTACTTTTAAAATATAAGTTTTTTCAGAAATTTACATTTACATCTGATTTAGTTTACATGGAGCATGAAGATGGAAATTACGAGTATTATTTAAATCCGTTCGTTTTCAAGTTCTTCATATATTAAAATTACGAATCTTCTCACATATAGTTTTATTCTTTTCTCTTTTTCTTTCGGTGTTCTTAGAAATGTTATTAAAATTTTTAGTGTAAATATTAGTGTGTGTTTTTTAATGCTAATGTAATGTATACCGGTAATACTAATACTTTTGTTTTCAAAAAATCGTACTTCAACAACACCACAGATTTAAACTGAGACCATCTACTTAGTATAACTAGCGGATAATTACAGAACGATTCCGTAGCCGTAGTTTTTTTTACCACGATATGTCGCTACTTGGTGAGATGAAGCAGCTCCACATGCGTAATTTTACGTTACTGTATGTTGTGACGCCACTGAACTACGTGTCGAAACGCAATCGATGTAAATACACTACAGTCAGAATTAATTTATTACAAACAATATTTGCAATAGTTCGTTTCTTGAACAACAAATTTGTCTTTTGTCTGATAATAAATGTTTATGTTGTACCTTTAAAACAGGACTATTCTTCATTATTTTTATTAAAATATTTTAAATTAAACAGTATATTATAAAAGTTATTGTAAAGAATGTGTAAACTTTCCTTCTTAAATTCTTTTAATCTCATAATTTTCCTGCTGAATTTTCAACCTCTTAGTCGGAATTTCTGATTATTTTTGTATTATTTAATAAAATTATTCATTGCTATTTAAAAATAATTTAAATGTTTTATATTAAAAAATTTGTAATATTTTATTTTACAATTAACGTTTATCTTTGAAATGTTCTACAAAACCAAACTCAATTTTCTTCATAAGCATCCTCGTTTTGTTTTCACGAGATTTTTAAAAAACTTAACCCTGGCCAATACCAAGTGTTAAGTGTATCTTGTGTAATTTAAGTACAGTCTTTTGAATTGGTAGTTTATTGTGAATTTTCATCGCATAGTGGCTTTTGGTCAATTTTACAGCCTGTACAATAACATGTAAAAAAAAGATAAAAATAGACCGTGTTATCGCGATATCGCAAAAAAATAGGAGCGCCAGAGTAATGAAGAAAGAAGCAATACGGTGTCTTCATTCTATTTCTAAATAATTAGAAAGTGAATAAAAAGAATCATGTTATATATTATTTTGGTTTTATTGAAAATGATCGTATAATAACGGCGATTGAAATAATCGATAGATAATGTAATTCGGGAAAACAGACTTGTAAGAAATAGCGATATTTTAAAAATTACACGAGTTTGATTACGTCTTTTGTAGCCAGAAAAAATGGCGGCTCAGTGTTTTAATACATATCAGTTACACTTTGTTTAAAAGTATGAATGATTTAAAAGCAACCACTTAAAGTTGTCGTTGTTTACATCGATTGAAATATGAAATAATTATTTCTCAAATTCTGTTAGAAAGAAGTTACAGATTAATCAAAAGATCTTNTTAAGTTGACAATTTGGTCAATATAACGATACAGTGATAGGCTCTTCTCGTTGAGAATTCTTGGATACCTTCAGCCATAACTTCTTCCATACTCCATTCATGCATTTATCAGTTAATTCTTGCCAAGCCAAGTCGCTTTTCCTATGGCATCCATGATGTTATACTTTTTTTCCAAAATTGCACAAAACAAACATAGATTTAAGCAAAGTACAGTGCTATGACGAATTGCAACCTTTTGCTGATTGGTTCGTGTTTGGAAAAAATCATATTATATATGAATCGATGAAATATTGCGTTAATTTGAATCAACGTATATTTTGAGCATTTTTTTTTAGGCATCAAGCAGACCGCATTATATTGAATCAGCATTAACCTGTCCTACATTGTTCCTGAAAATATTCGTGTTGACCTCATTGACTTGCATGGGAGATCCCGAATATTTTCGTGTTTACATCGAAATGTTTTTGATATTAGATGTCGCTATGCATCACAATTTTTATATTAAAACAAACTTTTAAAATATAAGTTTTTTGTTTCTATATTATTCAATATATTTATTTTGTTTGTGCAACATAAAAAATAATTTTTAACGATACAGTAAACACTATTATTATTTAAAAAAAAAAAGTTACATTGACGAAAATTCAATATGGCGTCACAGGCAACAAATAAAAATTTTAACATCAAATAGGTTAAATGAGGCAGCATTAAGTGGGGTCTTACTGTACTATGATCCCTAATGTATTTTATCATTTCTAAATTACACAAGAATGTGCATGTTGGCATTTAAATATCTTATTAAATGAGAAATGTTTTCATCATGTTTTGTTAATATCAATCTAAATCAGTGATTCTCAAACTTTTTTGATCCACCGCCCCCTTTGTTCCATAAAGTTATACCCAACGCCCCTTAACCCATTTTCTCTTGTGTGAGAAAAGGATTGGAAATATTCTTAGGAAAACTTTTCTATGAATCTCACACTTTGTGCCCTTACTGTACATNGGTTTATGGACCCAAAAAAATGTTGGGGTGGACAAACGCCCCACTGCACTAATGCCAAAAAAAAACTCAGTGCACTAACGCAGGGTTAATCGATGTGTAAATTTTAAGTAAAAGACGATTAACAAACAAGTCGTTTTCTATTTTTAATATCGTTTTTGATAATATAAAAATTTTTAATTAACAATTTTTTTGAATAAATAACCTGAGATTTGACGATAAAATAATAATAAAAAAATTGCCATTCGTACTGGGGCATTGAGAACATCTAGTCTATAAGAATATTAAATGTACAATTTTTTTTTGGATAAATAACAATAAATAACCTGAGATTTGATGATAAAATCAAAAAACACATCATTTGTACTTTTCTAGCAATAACTTTAATTGCAGAAGATATGTTTATTAAAAGTTTGGAAAGTTTTGTATTTGATTGTGGAACGGTAATGTCTTGAGGATGGCCTATTAGAAGTAGGCTGAAAACATTTGAACTAAATAAATAATAAGCTCAGCAAATTGTTTGGTGTTTGATTATATTTGATATGTTTATTCCTGGACATAAAAATGACTATTAATTGATTTATTATTATTTATTTTTAACTTCCATAATAATAAAAATGGGTCACAATCATTTTACTTTTTATTACACTTTTCGCAGACACCCTGACGTCCCTGTACCCCAAATTAATTTTAATTTGCCACAGACCCTATTAGTGGTTCCGGGGACCCCGAGGAGTCTGTAGAAACCACTTTGGGAAACAGTGGTCTAAATTATCTTAACAAAATGAATGTAATCATGTACAAATTCTATAATAATACACTACATAAAAAAATTTTTCTATGACATATATAGTTTTTTTAAGTATAAGAAAGTTTTTACATTTATTTTTATTTGTTTTTTAATTAAATATGTTAATGTTTACTCAAATGTAAAATGTCATTGAATCTAAAAGGCCCTTTAATTTTACACTATAAAAAAATTGTATGATTAAGTATAGGTGTTTGTATTGTGACAGATTTATATATCTATAATATTCTAATACACTTGTGATGATATGTGAAAAAATGAAAAAGTTTAAAATTCTATATATTTGTAATATAATACATAAATATTTTTTGTATTGTTAATTTTTTGACTAATTCTTTTGTGTTAATGTTCAAATTTTAATTTTTAGTTTCCATCCACTAGTTTTCATACAAATTTTTTTTATGATTATGATAAAAATTAAATCATGGAATCTCATATTCTTAGGAGTACTTATAATATTTAATAAATATAATAGAAGATTAAATTTGTTTGCTAGATCAGTGGTGCTCAAACTTCATTGGAGAATTAAATTGCTCATGTGAGATTCAGCCTGGGGTACAGGGTAGGTTGTTACGCCTGTATCACTTACTAGGCAGCTAGTTGGTAGGACTAGTTCTCTGTCGTCTACAAGAATGGCCTTTCCCAAACTTAGGGGAACGAGTGTGGAGGGCTTTACTGTTAAATTATAATTTAGAGCGGAAGTTGGTGATGGCGAATTCACCTTCTTCCTTACGTCAGGGTCCCGACACCAGTTTATCAGTTATTTTACATGTGGATAAACACGCGTGGGGCAATCTTATTCAGATAATAATTAAGAGTCATTTCTTTATAAAATAAACAAGAGTAAATTTAATTAAACGTAAACAAATAATGGGAATACAATTATATGATAAGGAGATTACCACTACTAATTATAGTCAATAAGTCGTGCGAGAAAGGGACTTATATCTAACCGATACACGATTGAGAGAGATAGCTTACAAAATCATTTACAAACATACAACCTGATCGTTGTCTTTACTCTTCGGCTCTGTATATGAAGTATTTGTTCACTCCTTGAATTCTCTGTCTTCTTTCCTCTGGAGAGATCAACTTAACTGGGTGTATTTCTACTCTCAATCCTTCGTATATTGTTTAACTCATAGTATAGGCGTTGGCCTTTAAGAGCAAATATGTATGGAGTCCTGACTCTTCTATGTCTGTCGATGAACTCCCCGAATTCTGATAAATTCCTGCTATATCTCATGATTTACGACCAATCATCTGCCAGAAACTCTTTCATGTGAACGGATGAAAGGGGCATCAAACAGGGGTAGATAGTTCCCATCTGAGCGAGATTTTTAGCGGATAAGGGAAAAACAGAGGATGTACGAACTTCCCTCAAAGGAAGTAGCATCTGTTATCTATCTTTCCCACGTTGGAAAACGTTACTTTCTCACCAAAACGAAATAATATTTTATGACAAATTTTTAACATTATTAATAAAATTACTATTTTAGACCCAGGGTCTATTCAGATCTCACATTCATAAATCATTAGTATGCAGATCACAAATATTTTGTATATTCCATATATACAAAAAGTAGGCATATTTTTATCATTTATAAGTGTTGTGTTAACAATTGCCCCATACCATAGTTTGGGCATCACTGTACTAGACTATAAAATTATTTGAAATGAGTTGCAGTACAGATATTTTAAGCATATTTGGATGTATATACAGTAAATTGTGGAATAATTTGTTTATTAATGAACTAAGCAATATAATTCATTCATAATAACTATGCTAAAACAGTTGTAATGTTTTTTATAACAAATTTTATCATAGTGAAATCTTAAAATATATAAATTTAAATAAATATTTTAAACTGACTGTATAAGACTATAACTACTAACAAAAAAGTGTTTTATGTTTGACTATACAGTAATTCATTTTATTTGTAACCACTTCAAACTTTTACCAGCAAAGTTATTATTTAATTTAAAAGATAAGAAAAGTTTACTGGTTATATCAGTAAAACTTCTAACTCAATAACCAAAAAAACCCAGTAAAACAAACACTACCCTATCAGCATATGCCAGAGATCCAGATGTGAAAGTCCACTTTTGAAATTCAGTTAAGTCACTTTCGAAATTCTGAAAACTAAACTGAATTTTATAGAATTTGAACTGATTTATAAAAACAAGCTAATAAATAAAGTATAGTATAGTGACAATTTCTATGATATATTACATTAGTGTAGTTACCGTGTTTCATTAGAAAAATTTTATATTTAACTATTATGATCACTAAGGATATGTTAAATTATATAAAATAATATGAATAAAAGTATTTATTTTACATTTATTTACATATTTTATAACAACAATTTATAAATTTTACAGATTTTTGCAAAAGAAGGAAACCTACCAAATATTATTTTAGCTGTAAGTACATTAAATATGATTGTAATTTGTTTCATTTTGGTGCTTATACCATTCTATGAAATCAATATAATTTTGTTTTCATTATATTCTATTAATCCATTTATTTGTTTTAAAGGGTCCGCCAGGAGTGGGTAAAACAACTACAATTCTTTGTTTAGCAAGAGAAATGCTTGGACCAGCTTTCAAAGATGCTGTATTAGAATTAAATGCATCTAATGACAGGTAATGTAAATATTGTGAACTAGTTACATTAAATTATATACAGGTAGGCCTCCTACAACGTGGTAGATACGTTCCTTGAAAATACTGCATTGTGGGATATTGCGTTATAGGAGACACCAACTCAATACAAAAACTGGAATTCGGTTCTAAAAAGAGAAAAACTTAGCGTTTGATTAGCATTTTTTGAATTTTTCAAACCAGCCATTGGTAGCCATGAATTTAACACTGGTTTCATCAGCTGACCAGTGGCGTAGCATAGTGGGGGTGGCAAAATTTCACAATAAATAGTAATAATATCTTGTAAAGATTTGAATCACTTCATTTCATATTTTTGTCGCACCTTTGATTCGGACCGATTGAAATGAGCACGGAATTGTTCATTACTTATTCTGTGACAAAATTGAATTTTAGTCTTTTAAATTGAGATACCTAAATAAGGGGCAGCGAAATTTTCCTCCATCCCAGGCAGCTAACACCCACACTACGCCACTGCAGCTGACGACTGTCCCATTTGTTTTAAATAATCAAATATTTTTAAGGCTTTGTGTTTAAGTGCAGTTTTATTTAAAGGCAACCATTTCTTGTTCATATCTTCTACCCATAATATTAGCACTTGTTCCATTTTTTACATTATAGGTGCTCTTGGACCAGCAACATTTTTTGCAAGAATAGATGATCCGGATGCGACCAAATTTCTAATCTTTTCTCCCAATTGCTTAATAGACCGAATAGTCGACTCATTTAAATTAAAATGCCTACTAATATCAGCTATCTGCTCTTGATTTTTAATTCGATCCAAAATTTCTATCTTTGAAGAGTTATAAATTTCCTTTTTAACGATGGTTCTTTTCATTCGGCATTGTTATGGCTAAAATTTTTTCAATCAGTTTTGTGGACAGTAAAAATCGCAAAAAATAACTTTTCTTCACTATGTTCTTAAAAATATACACCCAATAGAAGTTTAAGTACTGTATTTTGGACCATTTTTGCTGTCCCCACTTATTGAAACAGTATAAATGATGGAAAATTTAGTGATATATTTGAGTGTTTACGGTAACTGATGCACATCTGTCTAGAAACTGGTCTTTCCCTGAAACTTTCAAGAGAATAAATAACACGCCAACAGCGACAAACAGCTGTTTTCAAGGACATTTAGTTCTGTATGCCGAATTGTGGTTTGTATCATGTGATCCGTTGCGATTTTTCTGTTATGTGAAAGATAATTCGTTTCTAAATACCGTAAACCGCATTGTAAGAAAATTTCCACATTTTTCCAACCGTGTTGGAGGGAAAATGCATTGTAAAGGTACCACGTTGTAGGAGGCCTACCTGTAATTAAATTTATTGTGAATGAGTTAAATACTGCTTAGTTTTACAACAAGCTAATTCAATTAATATAAAATTACAGTGTGAGAAAGAAAGTCACTTAATACCCCTGCTATAGAATATAGAATGTACCCAAAGAATGTACATTGAGCACATATAATGTACATGTAATGTGTATAACTCTAATCATTTGTGGTAGGTCAATAAATCTTTCAGCAATCAATTTCTTGTGACGTTCTGATCTAAATGATGTGTCACATAACCTTCTTCCCATTATTTACAGTTTTGGAGTTGTATTCAAGATAGTGGCCATGCATCATGTAACATATATCAATCTAAAACCCCGTTTGCACCGAGCATTTTGATCTAGATTGTAACCAAGGTCGGCGACAATGCCGTGGTGCTACCTTTCTCAACCATTTCAATCTCAACTGAAACGAGGTTCAATCGTGATCAATTCAAGGGAGTTCTTGAAACTAGATCCAGTCATAAGAGAGATCCCAGAGAAATAAAACAGACATATGGAGAGACGATGACATCTGTCTATTATTAAATATATGACAAGAAAAAGTATTTATTTCTAACCAAAACTTCCATTTTGTTTGTTGGTGTTTGTGACTAACTGTGCAGTTATGTCAGTTTTATCATTGCGTGTAATAACCGGGTTCTTCTCAAGCGGACTGCCTATGCAAACAGCATGACATTCAACTGGCAACAGTCACAATCAAGATTGTAGGTAAATCGAGATCAAAGCGAGTTGTGGATTGTATGCAAACATAATATAACAGATGTGTGTTACACACATTTGGTCTAATGCATCCTTTCTCAAAGTGGGCAATAATGCCCCCTTGTGGGCATTGGAGGCTTTCAGGGGGGCAGTAGAAGGCTCAGTGATTAAATATGAGTTTTATTTCTTCTAGTTGAAACATCCTTTGATCTCAGAAATAGGATATGGGTCACACCCTATCTATTCTATCCATATAATAATGCATGTTTAAACATTATATTTGCAATAACTGTTTTTAAGATACCTTTTTACATTACCATCTGTTGCATAAATTAAAAAATATGGGGGCACTAGATTTTTTTTTATCTCAAAGTGGGTCTAATGTGTTTCTGACATGAGCAAATTAACTTTGGGTACATTTTACAGGTGTTAACTGATTTTCTTTCCCATCCTGTAGAATAAATAAGTTTTACTATCTTAAAATAGGTATAGATGATGCATTCTTATGTGCCAGTTGTTAATTTCATCTCCTTGTATAGTTTTCCAGTTTTATTTGTTTGTGACTGTATTGCTGGAAAAACATATTGGCTAACTTCAAACCATTATTCTGATTCATTTTGCACAATTGGTGAGAACTTAGTAATAATAATGTAAATATAATGGACTGATGCTGCTTTCATTACCAATAGCTAGCAGAGATTGTAACAAAAATTTCACTTGTATTCTATGAACATGGACCTTGATAATCTGAGTAACATCCTATACTAATATTAAGTTTAGAACAGATTAGTAACATTTTGCTACTTTTGCCCTCAGAAATGAGTGGCTTTTTATACATGCAGCTAGCTAGATGTTTATAATTCATCTGTTTTTTTTTTTTTTTATACAAATCAGATGATAAAAAGATCCATTCTGGATCAGATTCTACTAATGATTTCTTTCTTGCCATATTGGCATTAACAGCCCTACCAGAAAATTATATTCTCATTAGCATTGCTGCATAGTTAATATAAGGTACTGATGACTGTATTCATCAACAATGTCTTAAATTGAGAGTTTTGTAATCCAAAATTTTGAGCTGGTATCTTTAAATTAATTTAATTAAGAGTTACTTCACTTTTCATAATCACTAACTTCATTAAACACAGGATTACGAAATACTCAAAGTGGAGAGCTATGTTACAAGCTCTCTGATTTGTCTGAGTGCATATGACATGTCTATATGAATTGCCATGCATAAACTGCTTAAGTGATTTCAAAGCTTAATTAATAAATGATAGATTCCAGCAGTAAAAGAAACTATACTAATTTCAAGACAGTAGTAATATTAGAATCAGACAATCTGCTAAATTATTGGGCTATAATAAGGTTAAGTTAATAATTAAATACGAAGTAATTTATCAAGAGGTAGATGGTTATGCCATTATCTCATGATAATTTTAATAATTATTGATCACATCCGTCACCTGGAGGCCTGGGAGATTTATAAAGCCAACATTGGGGGCACCTGCATCAACTTTAACGACAGAGAGACGATCGCGCAGGTGTGGAGATACTTATTCGAAGAATTCAAAGTGGGACAAGTGGAGGGGTGAAACGCGATATGTGCATTATTTACATCTCGGGTGTCATCACTCCAACGGTCAAGAGGAGACACTGTTTAGTCACCACCTGAAGAAGACCTCGGTGGAGGTTGAAAACATTAGTGAAGTTTGTTAGAGACAACACTGTTATAAAAAGGTTTTCTGGATTGTTAATAGGCATACATTGCTACTTTGTATTGTGTATGGATACATTTTTTAAATTATAATTTAAGCATGTTATGCATGTAAACTTCTTGTTAAATTTATGGTAAATTCTAGTTAAAATGCTTTTATAAGTGTATTTTACGGAATCTGGAATGGATTAATCTGATTTACATTATTCCTTATGGGAAAAATTTGTTTGGTATTTGAACAGCCTTCTGGAATGAACTAAGTTTGAGTACCGAGCACCACTTTATTTCAGTTATGTATGTGATATGTTAATTAATTAATTAATGAATTTTTTTTATAGAGCTATGTCAGATAGAAATAAAAAGTATCTCATAAAAGGTATTTCATTTCACTGGAATTAAAAGTACAGATTTTGGATCATCTAAAGAAATGAGAAAAAATATCATATGTTGCAAAAACTTTAAATTTATATGAAGCAACAATCCAGACCATACAAAGAAATAAAAATTAGAGCTTCTGTTACAATAGGATGTTCCATTTCTGTGAATATGACAGCATGTCCTAGAGAACTGATAATTGAGAAGATTGGAAAAGCTCTTAGCATTTGGATTGATGACTGTTTAAAAAACAGATTCCACTAGACACCAATCTTATTAAGCAGAAATATTTAAAAATTTGCAAGTATTTAAGAGAAAATGGAGAACAGCCTACTGGTTATGACTTTGTAGCTAGTAAAGATTGATTTGAGCATTTTAAAAAAACATTAAGCATTACAGAATGTAAAAATACAGGGGGAAACTGCATTGGCTGATAATGAAGCTGCCAAAAAATATCCAAAAGAATTGCAATATATTATTGGATGAGACGGATTCATGACACACCAGGTTTTTAGTGCTGATGAGATAAGTGGAAAAAAATGCCCAAGAGAGCATTTATTTCAAAAAAAGAAAAAGCTGCACCAGATTTTAAAGCATCGAAAGAATATGTAACATTACTTATGTGTAGTAATACATCAGGAAATCACATGGCAAAACCCATGCTAGTTTATAAATCTCTCAATCCTAGAGTAATGAAAAATCTAACTAAGAGTGCTTATGTTGGACTGCAAATAGAAAAACTTGGATATTACTGCTGATTTATTTAAGAAATGGTTACTAAACTATTTTGTACCAAGTGTAGAAAACTACTTAAAGTAAAAATAATCTGGATTTCAAAGTTTTACTAATATTGGATAATGCACCAAGCCACCCGAAAAATTTAAATTAGTCAAATGTTGAAATAATATTTTTTCACCGAATACAACTTTACTTCAGTCATTAGATCAGAGAATCATAGCCAAATCCATTACATCAAGAACTCTTTGCAATGAATTGTGAATAAAATAGATGACGAATCTACCGAAGTCATACAGGCATGGAAGCTGGTCATAATTTTGGACTGTATTAATGTCATACCTTTGTCTGTCAAAGAAATAAAACCATCAATATTATTGGGTTCGGAAAGTAATTTCGTTTTTTTTTACCACTAAACGGATTAGTCATATTTTTCCCACCATTTTCATTCTAAACTGTATTATCATTATATATTTTGACAGCTAGCATTTTAAGGCTTATTTGTAAAAAATTTTGTTTGATTTTGTGCAATTGTTTATTTTTGTGTCCCATCAAATATGGAAGATCGAAAGCAGCATTTTCGGCATATTTTGCTCTTTTATTACCAAAAAGGTAAGAATGCTGTTCAAACGAGAAAAAAAATTGTGTGATGTGTATCAAGATGTATTGACAGAATGACAGTGCCAAAAC